GTGACTATGTACATCATTTGATATTATATCTGTGACTATGTACATCAATTGATATTATATCTATGTTTGTATTTTGCGTTTTGCTTCAAACGCGGTTTAAAAAGATTAAGTTTTTTTATTGTAGTTACGTAATTAAAAGTACATACTCCGTATTTAGAATTAAGTTATAATAAATATTGTGTCTAGACCTTCTTTTTGCTCACCGCAACACCTGTGAAAAATTAAAAGTAGACCCGATGCAGGTATATACATTGGGCGCTTGGAGCGGGAAATTTTGATAAATTCTAAAATATTTTACTGTCCTTTTTACCATTCGAAAAAATACTGAATGGAATTCACAATATTGAAAAATGATACCTGAACTTTTTACAACCCTACTTATTCTTCCCCAAATCTAAAATGATACTTCAGAGCTACACCTATACTTCAGAAATGTGCAGAAAATTAACATAAAATAAAGCGTTGAATTCCCATTAACACTTACAGAAAAGGACGCTCTGAATGTGACAAGGCTGTGGCTTCCAGAACCTTAATGACATTCAATTGTCTCATCCTGCTTCCTCAATCAGGCGCGGTCACGTGACAGAGTCCAGGCCCCGAGCATTTTTGCTGATGTGAAGATCAATTAAAATCCCTCCAAGTACTTAAAGAACTTCAAAAGGAATCCACTTTGAATACAACGCGTCAGCAATTTCCGTCCTATGCATTCAACTCCAACCCCCATCTTCTGTTTGACAGAAGAGAACCCCTTATTTTGTGAAAAGAACCCCTTAATGCTATTTTTTTTATTTGTTCTTTTCCAGAGTAGTGTTTGTTCCGTTTTAAATTGAATGAAGCTTCCGAGATTAAGGACAAAATCGATTTGCTGTTCATCCAGTAAGAAGGCAAGGAATCTTTAGAATGGACCTCGAAAGTTACAATGGCGTAAATATACAACACGCCGATATTGAGTTAATACTCTTGTACATAATTAGAACGTTTAAAGTTGAATGTTTTTCTCGACATTTTCATAACCTAATCACAGAAGTTGACGTACACCAAAAAAGATCATACATCACTATTAATTTATTTCAGTAGCGAATCAACACAAAAAAAACATAATTTTAGTAACAATTATTAAAAGATGTTCTTAAAAGTCATGAATCAAAACACGACGTTGAATTTGAAGCCGAATATTTTTTCGACAAAGAGCGCTAGTTATATATTCTAAAAGATTTGAACAGCAATTTCAATCTTACAAATAGTTCCGCGCGTTTATTCGTAATACAAATCTTTAGATAAGTTTTCTTTTCCAAGATTCCTTAGTTTAATCAATTCACTCACAAATTAAACTTCATATAAAACCAATTTAAAATATATTGGCAATTTATTTCTGTGTTAAAGCTATAAAATACACAACAGCTATAAATATAAGAATGACTAAGTATTACTTATCAAGAATTTCGAACTTTCTAAAGAACGATACCTCGCTGTCCCAAGGGTCAATAAGGATTCTGGGTTATGAAACAGATATGTCAAAAGAAAGATATTACACTTAAACTTACTCTCAGAGGAATATGATCGTGGTAGCCTATTGGGCAAGGCCAATGGACTCGTGGCGGGCATGTCATGAGTTCGAGTCCTACCACCACTGAAGACCCACCATGTAAAAAATATGATGATTATTAAATTTGTCGAGGGTTAAAGTCTTCCCATTGCCGTGGTGTGAAAGTTTGGAGAGGGGATGTGTCAACGCAAGTGTCGTCACCTGACCATAGTTAAAAATTACGAGGTCCGTCACCAAAAGCCCTCCCGTTGCTTTAGAGCAGTGATCCGCAACCTCCTGTCCACGGACCGGTACTGGTCCATGGACTAAATAGTGCCGGTCCGCACAAGGAATATTAAATTATTTTTTCATTTTATATACTGTGGTGTATTTCTTTAGGGCTTTATGTTAATCATTTTATATACACAATGTTAAATAACTTAATATTAATTTCTTGATGTAAATGTATTTTATTCTGAAGGCCCATTTAAATACAATTAAACTAAAATTATTAAATAAAAGCAATCTAAAATATAAACAATCAACGTGCCCTCCTTCAGTGGGCCGCGGTAAAATTATCAAACGTTGACGGGTCCTCGGCGATAGAAAGGTTGAGGAGCACTGCTTTAGAGTGCGACTTCAATGAACACTCCTTCCGTTTCAAAAACCTTCCTCCAACTTTATGCGAATTCTTTGGAATTCAACAGGTGAATTTTCTTTATAGCGTACTAATAGAGTCTAAAGCTCGTGTGACCGATAATCATAATTGGGGTTTATGTTAGAGGTAGAGTTTCTATTGCGTTATAAAAGGGCATGATATGGCTTAGTTTTCAATGAATTAGCAATACCAAAATGTTGGGGACAAACCTTATTTTGAGTCACAGTTCAAGTGACGGAAACAATATGGCATCGCACTCCATTATTCGGCACGGAACTCTAAGTCACAATAAGTTTCAGCGATAGTTACATAGCAGTCATGTCTGCTTCAAAATAACAGCAAAAATTCTGAGAGCACAATTTTTGTTTTTACACTTCATCTATTTTAATTGTATTTGCATACTTTTCTTTTTTCGGCAAAATTAAATGCAATCTTTTTTTATGTATACCAATTTTAAGAGAATTAACCATTTAAATCATGATTTGAGCCTTTATTTCACCACAAAATCGCTTAATCTTATTGAACAAAACAAGCTAAAAAACACAACTTAAACATAAAATCTGTACTAAAAGATCAAACAAAAAAAAATGCATACTTATTATTAAAATATATTAGGTAACAAATAATATATAAAATCATTTTTAGGTCAATCCCTACTTAAGTCAACAAAGAAAATTTTTATTTTAATTACTTTTTATTAAATAGTTATAATTAATATAAATATGTATATACATATGACAGAATCCCAATATTATATACAAGTGACAAAATAGAAAGAATAGAATTCCCTTATATGTATGATGTTGGACTTTTTTCGCGTTTACTATTTATTCATACATTATAAATTTAATTATTCTATTAAAACAGTATAGTAAAAAAGATACCACATTCACAGAAATTAGGCCATCCCTGGCGGGATTCGAACCCACGACCTTTGGATTAGAAGTCCAACACGCTATCCAGTACACTACAAAGACACAACGAACAGTAGAACAATATATATACAGAGAGAGAGCTAATAGTAGGAATTGGGGGGAGGATTACTTCAAGAAATTTAAAGAGAAATGAAAACTCTAAACAATGTGATAGCCTCTATGATATTTTTTTTCAAAATTAGAACCATAACATCAATCCATCCTAACCGACAACATATTACACATTAAACCAGCAGAAACTGCTGCAACAACATCATCAAATCCTAAATTAAAACCCAACAATTTCTCAAAAGATTGATTTTGCATTTAAGATTTCCATTCAGTCTCTCGCGCTGCTCTCATGAAGACGAAAAATTGAATTGATTTCAAAGTCCTGAAACGTAATTACAGAGCTGATTGAAACGTCGAGCGAAATCGGAAAACTAATTTATCTACTAAATAAATTCTGTTACAGAGAAATTAAATCTATTTTGAATTCAAATCCGCTCCAATGCATAACACTATCTTGAAGAACGTGAAATCAGTAAACCAAAAATCGATATCTTAATCCCTTTAAGTAAAAAAAAAGTATGAGATCTTTCTTGTTTATTTAAGAGATTATATGTTGAATGAGTCTACTGGAAATACATTACACTGCCCCTAAGACGCTATAAGACAAGTCAATCCTCTTTGACAGCCGTCATATGGGTAGATTTGTGGGGCTTCTGAGAAAATGCCAGACGCTGCGGAGGATAGATAGAAAAGCAATACTTAAGATAAATTCTGTTCATAAAAGTTTTTAGTGGATCTTTTTTTTTTTTTGTATTAAAAATTACACTGGCATGTACAAAGGGATATCTCTGGAATATAACAGACAAATCCGTAAATATATTTGCTATTTAATTGCTTTAAGATGATTTTCAAAGTGAAAAATTTATTGAATTATAACGCACAATGCAATTAGGTAAACATTTGTCAAGATATAAACAGTAGAATTTTGGAATTGTAAAATATTCATGTTTAACTATATTCAAGCTCTTATAACTTAATGATTCCTAAAGTATTAAAAGAAAAGTTCCCTTTGTGGGCGTCATTCAATTTTTAAAGCCTTATTAAAGATCTAATAAAGACATCTTATTCTCTAACTCTTTTCTAAAACATAAAGAAAACAGTTTTTTCACATTGCGATGAATATCTATATAAATAAAAATGGATATTAGCATATATGAAATCGCTTCACTCCAACACCGTTTAACCGATCACTATGAAAATTGGCTTGTACATGTAATTTTTTTGGAGAAGGTTTTTGTGCTATCCTGTTTGTTACAGCTTCCCACCAAGTGGCGCTACAGTATTTCAACTTCAGCACCGTTCAATCAATCACCAAGTGGCCACCCTGGCCACCAAAAATGATGCCAACTTAGCTTTATCGCCGACATTTCGCTCTGTTTCCATTGAATCGTCATTATAATGCAAGGAACGGTATTGCTTGTGAATATCACAATTTTAACATAAAATAAATACAATAGAAGTAATATTAAAGTATTACGCATCCAGATATAAATTATTTACACTATTTTAAGCATTCATTTCACAAAAATTGCAACAATATGTTACTTTTGCTGAGCATAGATCAGCTTAGGAAGGTATTTTCAAAAAACGACCCCCAAGGGAGTTACGGGAGCGTTATAAATAAAAAAAAAAAATCCTTTTTATCAGCTATTAGGTCTACAGACTTAAAATTTAATAAATATGGTTTTTTTGTTCAGCTGAGTTGAGCAAAAAGCTTTTTGTTTGATTTGCAATTCACGTAAAATTAACTCATTAAAAGCTTCTTTATCCTTCAGTTTGTATTGTTTAATTTTTAATTCACTCGTACAAAGAACAGGCATACCAGCTAGTATTAATTAAAATTGATAATAGTAAGGAAAAGACTTTAAAAAACAGTATACCGATTTAATATGCTATGTAATATTTTCAAAATGTGTTACAAATGTTACCGAAAGGGAAATATTTCATACTATAAGACAAGTTTTGATCTAAGTGAAATAATATTTTAAATAATATAATATATTTATGGAAATTTCTTTAAAATTTGTTCACTTCTTGTCTTACATTTAAAGAAAATTTTAATATACAAGCAAAGTCTTATAAAGCTAATTTCCTTTCACAAACGATTTTCTGTTGAATAAAACTTTAATAAATATTCTTATGTGAATATTTAAACGAAAGGTCAAATATTTTTTCTGTTTAAAAGCACTGTTTTGAATTTTAATGAAGGAGCCAATATACACTAAAAAAATGAATGGATAACAAAACAAACAATTTAGAAAAATTTTGGAACAATTATTTACAAAAACTGGTAAATATATGTTTTAAAAATTCAATAAAAGTCATAATATATAGCAAAATTACACAAAGGATATATTTTAAACAGGACTACAAACTTTTTATAAGGAGAGAAAAGAACAATTCTTTTTTTAAAAAAATCGTTTGAGACCGCACGAAAGTTTTTGCAGGTTACGTGAAATGATTGTTAAAAGGAACCTGCAACTTTTTCATAATTTTTATTCCTCTATTTGAGTGTAAGCAATAATTACGTTAAGTAATTTCCAATAAGAAGAATCAAAATAACAAATAAATTATTTATGCAAACCA